ACCCAGCCGCAAACACCCCACCACAGCCCCAGGCCGGCCCCCTCCCCCCAACCGGGCCTGGGACACCGGTCCAGCCCTCCCCCACACACACACCAGGCCCCAGACGCCAACCCAGCCCCCCAACCACTGACACCCCCCATGGTGAGTCACAGGCAGTGAATGAGCAAAATGTTTTTTTATAGCAAAAGAGGAAACTGCCAGTAAGAGACGAGCTGGGCGGGGGGGCAGGGCTGGGGGGACAGGCAGAGATGGGGACTCTGTGCCCCCTGACTGGCACCCCAGCACCCCCATCCCTCCAGTTCTGTCCTCTCCCCCACCCACCCTGCTAGCTGCCCCATCCCATCCCCCTCCCATGCCCAGCGCCCCCCATCCCCCCCAGCTCTGTCCTCTCCCCCCACCCACCCTGCTAGCTGCCCCATCCCTTTCTCCCTCTGTGCCCAAAGCTCCCCTTTCCCCCCCGGCTCTGTCCTCTCCCCCCTGCCCCACCGCTGGCTGCCCTGGCCCTTCCCCCTCCCCGTGCCCATGGGGCGTTGCCATGGCGTCCATCCTCTGTCTCCTCTCTCTGTCACCATGGAAACGCGCCCGGGTGCAGCGGTGGCAGCATGTGCTGATCCCCCCTTCCCCACCCTGAAATGGGGGGGCCTCCAGGGAGGGGGAGGAACAAGGGGGAGAGTGGATCAGTGGGGGGCCTGGGTTTGGGGGGGAGGGAGCTCCTCAGGTGGACCCCTGGGCTTGGATCTCCTCAGAAGGGGGCGCCAGATGGGCTAGCAGGGGCTGCAGATTGGGAGTGAGGGGCAGGGCTGGGCTAGCAGGGGCTGCGGGTCGGGAGTGAGGGGCACCGGCAGAGCGGGGGGTGGGCTGGGCTGGGCTAGCAGGGGCCTGCGGCTCAGGAGTGAGGGGAACTGGGAGAAGGGGGGGGCTGGGCTAGCAGGGGCTGCAGGTTGGGAGTGAGGGGCACCGGCAGGGCTGGGCTAGCAGGGGGCTGCGGGTCGGGAGTGAGGGGCACCGGCAGGGCTGTGGGGTGGCAGGGCCGGGCTAGCAGGGGGCTGCAGGTTGGGAGTGAGGGGCACTGGCAGATTCATTCACTGACTCCCAACCTCCCCATCGAAGCCACTCCCCTCACAGAGCTGGGGACAGAACCCAGGAGTCCTGCCAGGCCCTAACCCACCTCCACCTCTTTTCTGCCCAGGTGAGTCGAGGAGGGGAAACCAGGATCCCGCTCTCTGCCTATCGGGCTGCCAGTGGCTTCCATGGGATTGTGCCCCACGGCAGTTGGGATAGCACCCCCTGGACATAGTCCCAGCCTGCGTGGGAGTCCCACGCTCAGTGGACAGGCTGTGTGATGAGGCCTTGCACACTCAAAGGGCAGTGTGTCCGGGTGTCTGAATCCCTTGCACACCCAGGTGACAGGGTGTGCATGAAAAGGCCTTGCCCCTATGTGGTGTATATAAGTCCCTTGCACACGTAGGGTGTGTGAGTCCCTCGCATGTTCAGCAGACAGTATGTGTGAAAATGCCTCACACCCTCAGTGTGCAAGTGAGTGAAAGCCCCTCGTACACTCACGGCACCAGGGGAGTGTGACTGCCTTGCACGGTCACAGTGTGTGCAAGCCCCTTGCACACCCAGATAGCAGGATGTGTGAAAACACTTCGCACACACAGTCTGTGCAAGAGATCTCCTTGCACAGCCGAAATGCAGGGTGCGTGGGGACAGGCCTTGCACACTCCGGGCACGCGCGAGCCCCTTGCACACTCCGGGCACGCGCGAGCCCCTTGCACACTCGCCCCCCTGTGGCTCCAGCCAGCGACCGCTGGGCTGCAATGAATGATCGGGCTGATCCATTCCTGCAGCGGGGGGAGGGCTCAGGGGATTGCGGGGGTGGGGGACTCGCCTGGCCGCCCCATCTCCCGAGGGGGGTCCTGGGGGGAGCAGAGCAGGACGGGATCAGGGGATCGCAGGGCGGGGCCCTTGGGGGGCGCGTCCCCCCATCCCTCCCCCCCCGCCCACAATGGTGCAGCCCGCGTTTAAAGGGCCCGGCCGGGCGGGGAGGGGGCAGAGCCGGAGCGGGGCGCGCGGCTGCAGCTGCAGGTAGAGCCGGGCGGGGCCCCCCCAGGATCGGGGGGCGGGTCGGTGCATTGGGGGCCCCGCAGGATCGGGGGCAGGATCGGTGCATTGCGGGGGCCCAGGATCGGGGGGCGGGTAGTTGCATTGGGGGCCCCGCAGGATCGGGGGCAGGATCGGTGCATTGCGGGGGCCCAGGAT